TTTATGACTAACACAGGTAAATGCACATGCATGTATCCGTGTGCACACACATGCCTACACACACACACACACCCAGCAGTTAAATCACAGTGGTGAAGGAAGAAATTGGTATATTGACTACTGCAAAATAAGCAATTAGACCACAAACTTGGAGAAGATTTTGCTGTGTTTAAATTTATAAAGGATGCCGGGCGGTGGTGGCGCACGCCTTTAATCCCAGCACTCGGGAGGCAGAGCCAGGCGGATCTCTGTGAGTTCGAGGCCAGCCTGGACTACCAAGTGAGTTCCAGGAAAGGCGCAAAGCTACACAGAGAAACCCTGTCTCGAAAAACCAAAAAAAAAAAAAATTTATAAAGGATAATATGTAAGGTATCTACGATAGTCCTTCAAACCAGGAAGAAAAATATAGAAAGCCATATCCATAGTGTTTGTTAAAAGATCTGAATAAGCAGCTGATATGAGTGGCAGTCCTTTTGAATGAACTTCATCAGAAACTAGAAAAGTGTCTTGTTCTTTGGGTCTCCTGGTTAGTATTTGATACTCTCACTGCTGTGGCCCAGGTATGATTTCAGGTTGGGGAGTCTTTCTTCTGTTAGGCATGATAGCACCCACCTCAGTCTTATCACTTGGGAATCGGAGCAGGAAGTTCTTGAGTTCTAGGCCAGTCTGGGCTACACAGATGGTGGGGCAGATAGGTAGGTAGGTAGGTAAGTAGGCAGGCAGATAGGTAGGTAGGTAGGTAGGCAGATAGGTAGGTAGGTAGGCAGATAGGTAGGTAGGTAGGCAGATAGGTAGGTAGGTACGTAGGTAGGTGCACAGAGAGATACAGGACTAGAGTAGAGAGAGAACTATGAATTGAAGGCAGAGAGAACATGTCACGATGCATTCTGATGTGTGTAAGGACTGAAAGAAAGACAGGATGACTTTAACGGAGACAAGAAATAATGTCAAAACGTCGACTTGTACCTTGTACAGTCGTATGTCACTTCACAGTGGGGTTATGAGAAATGTATGATTAGATGACGTCATCACTCTACAAATATCATATGGTATAATTACACAAACTTACTCTATACCTAGGCTATATTATAATTTGATGGAACTCCCATTATATGTGCAGCTCATCATTGATTGAAGCATCATCATTTGGCACATGACTGTACATTCAAGACTTTGTAGGTCATAATAGTTTTCTTTATAACAAGGGACAACGAGTTAACAATGATCATATTATTTAATTTCACATATTTGTAAATTTTATAAAATCTTTTATATTGTTTTGTGTTTCATATCTTATAACCCAAACAAATATTTTGATGTGGTTCTGGTTTTCTTAAGTTTGCTGAGACTTGTTTTGTAGTTGACCATGTGGATTATCTTGGAGTGTTGTAGTGTATGCTCTTGAGATGAATGTGTATTCTGCTATTTTGGGATAGAAAAATAATTTGTTTTTGTCCCATTATATCTAAAGTACACTTCAAGACCTTCATTTCTATTTTGATTTTTCTGTTTATATGCTCTATAAATTGTGATAGCGAGCTAATGGAGCCTGTCACTCTTTTTTACTGTTTCATTAGTATCTATTACTTGCCTTATGTATTTTGCTGCTTCTGTGTTGGGTGTATACATATTTAGAATTCATATATGTTCTTGATGAATTTATTATAATAGAAGAACTTTCTTTGTATCTTTTTTACAGTTTTTGACATAGTAGTTTATTTTTATCAGATGTAAGGTAACCCTCTTTGCTTTGTGTGTTTCTGCTTGTGTGGAATATCTCCTCAGTCCTACTTTGATCTGTGTGTCCTCAGTGGTGAAGTGGGTCTTATAGGCAGCCTACAGTTGAGTTTTGTTTTTTCCTTGGAAGGAAATCTTTCATTTATTTTGATAAGAGGACATTATCTATTATACACAAGATACTCATTGGTAGATGAGGAGTGGTTATTGTGATAGAATTTTATTCTAGTTGTTTTGTACATTTTCCCCTTTAATTTTCAAGTTGGCATACACAACAACATGTTTTCTTAGGATGTTTTTATTCAGACCTAGTTTTGTCTAATTGCCTTTAGAGTTTTTACTTTGGTTTCTGGCTATTTGATGAGAGGGTGTGAGAGAGAGAGGGGTGGGGTGGAGGAATGAATGAGAATTTGGGGTTTATTTTATAAGGGCTTCTCTGAGGTGTGTTTTGTCTTAGTGTCTTTTTGTTATTTTTGTAAAATTCCTTGTCCTTATCTCTTTAATTGTTTTTTTTTTTTCCTGGAGTTTTATTTCACCCACCACATCGACAGTGAGGTCATTGCTGTTTCTCTGACCTCGCTTATCCTCTGTCAGTTTCATTTTGGACAATTTTTATCAACTCATTTTCTAGCTTACTGTACAGTCTTCTCAGGAAGGAATTCTTCATCTTTGATAGCATAATTTTCCTTCTAGAATTTCCATCCGATTCTTTATTTCATTATTACAATTTTCTGTTCTAATTCCCCATTTCTTCATGAATGATTCCACCTTTTCTATGTATTCTTTATTGTAATCATTTTAAACATTTTAGTTAAGATATAATTGTATCATTCTTTCTTTCTCCCTCCCATTCCTCCTATGCTGCCTCCCATATGTGCTTATTCCCAAATCCATGTCATCTTTGAGTCTAGTTGTTACGTTTCTTGTAGTAGATTATTTATGTGTTGTTTTCATCTCTTGGTGCTGTATCTTTGAATTGTATTTGTACCTGGATGTGGAATACCCTTTCCGACAGGCTGTTGGTGTTGAGAATTGAAACCTCAAAGAAATCACGAATTCAGATAAGTTTGGATTTTGATGTTGCCATCATTGTCTTTAGTGCAGCATTGGCACAAAACTCTTCCAAGCATGTGAGCTGCTTTTGCATTCCCTTTTAATAGATGCTGGAGTGCTGGAAGTTGCCATCCTTACACATACTCCCCACGTGAGGGCTACATAGGTTACTCCCATGCACTGGAGTCTTTGGAAGTAGTCAGCTTCTGATGCTTATTTCTTTATGATTGCATCGCAGGGAAATGGGTGTGCTCTGTGACGGTTCCCTCCTTCCAGTTTCGACAGGTCCTAGTCACCTTGTGAGTTCTTGGTCTCTCTCACCTATGGAAACAAGTATGCCTTGATCTCCAGTTCTGTATCCAGTTTTGGGGCAGGGGTTTCTTCCCATGTCCTAGTGATAAAAGATGTTTTGTTTGTGTTTGGGTATTTCCTGCACTGTGGAGAAAGGATTTCTTCAATCTTATCTGTAGCTATAATGGCTCTTTGCCTTCATCTTAAGTGACAGAGCTTACTTTTCTTGCTTGTGGTTTAAAGAAAGCTTTTACTATTTTAGCAAAATCAGGAAATCATGTCTGTACCTCAGCAGCCACAATTTACCTTTTAATGTCTGCACATATGCACTCTTCCCAAAGCAGGGCTGTGTTTCTTGGCTGTGTTTTCAAGTCTTCCAGAGTACTTGTGGAGGGAGAGCTGTGGGAAAATACTCTGCGTCTGGATCTTTAGCTGTTTGCAGTTGTCATGTTAGATAAATCTTGCCATTGCACTATTTGTTAAAATTTTAACTGATCTCTGTCTAGAGCTGTAGCTTTGTAGATACAGTATTTACCTAGAATGTGTGAAGCCTTAGTTTCAGTCTCCACAAACACAGATGTGGTTGTGTATGCCTATGCCTGTAATCCTAGCAATGGATACCTGAAGCTGGAGGATCATCTTTGATACATAGAAAGTTTGAAGCCATCCTTGGATATATGAGATGCTATCTCAAAAATAAGCAAACAAATAAGCAACCCCTCAAATAATAAAGATTTCCCTTTACCTATCTGTATGGTACTACTTCCTTCTCTTATGTTATTGCCAAAGATGGAACAATTAGACTTGGTGTTCTTTGGAATTTAGGTTGTTTGCCTGATAACTTTCCTTCTGATGGACTTAAAATAAGTTATGGTTTTGTTGATTGTCAACTTTAGGATTGGAGTGTTGCCATTTTTAGTTTTCTAAATCTTTAAAAATTTAAAGTGGCTTTTGAGACAGGGTTTCTGTGTGTGATAGTCCTGGCCTTCCTGGAACTCACTTTGTAGACCAGGCTGGCCTCAAACTCACTGAGATCCGCCTGCCTCTGCCTCCGAAGTGCTGGGATTAAAGGGGTGCGCCACTGTGCTAGCACTCCCGGAGGTTTTCTAAATCTTGAGTTAATTATAGTTATGAAGCATTCAAATAGAAAAATTTGTAATGATACAGCTTTCCAATTGTCCTTTTTCTTAACTTAGTTTTCTTTTTTGATTCATTTTATTTGTATTTATTTATGTGTGTGTTTCTACATGTTAGTATGAGCAAGTCTTTGTGTTCACAGAGGTCAGAAGAGGGTGTCAGAGCTCCTGGGACATTATGAACCACCCAGTGTTGGACCTGGGAACTTGTTACTAAAGAGTAACAAGTGCTCTTAGCTGCTGAGATAGCTCCATAGGCTCCAGTATTTTAATTTTCAAGTATACCTGGCTTTACTTTTTTTTTTTCACAACGCCATTTGTTAGGCTGAGAATGTGTCACAGTGTTTTCTTTTTACAGCTAAGCTGTGTTGTGACTGGTGAACAGATGCATTTATCTCTCTGTGGAGAGTCTAGTTCACTCCAGTTAAGACTGTGTCTCTGCTTTTAAGACACTAGGTTATGGCTTCTTTGTGGAGGTAAAATTGTCTTCCTGTATTTCTGAAGCTAAACTGTTGAAAAATAGAAGTAGGTAGAAGTTTAGTTTAGTATTCAAGGAAGTGTTCCACAAACATAATTTTATAATTAATATGTTTATCAAAGATAGAACTAATTTCAACACTTTTATGTTACAATATGCCATTCAAGCAAGATATTATTCTATACTTCATAAAATTAAAATTTATGCTCTTTTAATCTCATCCTGTGTATTCTAATTATAAAATAGATTGTGATTTTCTTTGATCATCAGAAAACCAATTTGAAAACCCTTTTTCTTTTCTGCAGAAAACTGCATCAACAGTTTGAAATGTATAAGGAACAAGTCAAGAAGATGGGAGAAGAATCGCAGCAGCAGCAAGAACAGAAGGGCGATGCCCCAACCTGTGGGATCTGCCACAAGACGAAGTTTGCTGATGGATGTGGCCATAACTGTTCTTATTGCCAAACCAAGTTCTGCGCTCGGTGTGGGGGTCGAGTGTCATTACGCTCAAACAAGGTACAGGACAAAATATGATTGTTTTCCAGTAGTCAAGCTTATTGTGAATAAAGTGGAATAGATACCTGAAATTACGAAGAACACACCGTGTTGTTCTCCTCTTTTACTGAATGTGAAAGGTGGTCTTCACTGTTTCAAGTCAGCTTGTGATGTTGGGTAGAATCATAGGGCCTTTGACTTTCGAACACAGTGAAGACATTTAGAGATTAATTGATATGTCCTTTGTTGTGGCTAATGAAAACTCTGATCCAGAGAGACTAAGATTGATTTTTATAGCCACTGATTACTATCAGAACTCTGATAGAGATTTCTCTATTATTACAACACTTTCACAAACTTGGTAGATTATTTGTCTTCCTTGGTTATTGGAAACAAGACCATTCCAGCTCTGAGATCTTTTCTTTGTTTTGTAGCTTTGGAAGCTATACTCTCCTTTGTTTTTGTTTTCATATTAATGAAATTGCATTCAGCTATGGAATTTAAAGATCTCTTTTTTCATATTTATTCTAGGCTTTATCTACACTTTATCTACTTTAGTGAATATGTAAATGTTACTCATAGAATACTTTGTCAAATTAGCAAAAGCAGTATTACAAATGCTCTGCTAAGTTCTTTGAATTGCCTTCCTAATTATTATCTTATCATCAAACTAATTACTTAGATAGTTTTTTCATACAGACAAATCTGTACATACATTATTTGGGAATAATTGTGGGAATTAGTTCTCCTGTGTGATTTCATGTCTTTATTTTCTTATTGTTTGTTTCTCTTAATGTTTTGTTTGCCCAGAACCAATCCTTTATTTCTCCTAATGCTTCCTCTTGGCTTGATGATAGTTTGTGCATATGTATGTGTATACATATACACATTACATTGGTATAATTTTGAGTAAAAGTGATACAAGCAGAAATCTTAGTCTTAGAAGGAATGTATTCAGTCTTTCAATATTAGGTATAATGTTACCTATAATTTTTCATAGGTGCCATCAATTACAAATTTGCTAAAAATTTTTTTTTTAAGATCTTCAATAGGAGTTGGACCTTCCCAATGCCTTTTGCCTTCTATTGAGATTATTTTTTGCTTTTTTTCCGCTTATTTAAGATGATGAGGTATATTGACTGATTTTTGACTGTTGAACCAACCCTGTTTTCTTGGAATAAAATCCAGTTGGTCATGATAGATAGATAACTCATTTTATTATTCATGAGTTTGATTTGCAATTCTCTTTCCTTGATTTTGGAATTAGCATCACACTGGCCTAATGGAAAAGATTATAAAGTATTTTACTCTCTTTAATGTCATAGGAGAGTTTGTATAGAACTGATAATCTATTTTTTTTTTTTTTTTGATGTCTGATCCACATGCAGAGCAGTTGAGTTGTCTTACTGGTGCCATCCAGTGACGCCAGTCCTTTTTAAGTTATTAAACATACTTGTTAGTTTTGATCTGTCAAGGTATCTGGGGAGGTGTTAAAGCACACTTTCAGTGTTTTATTTGATTCAGAGGGTTTTTTTTGTGTGTATGAGTAAGTTTTAATAATTATATCTTTTAAGGAATTTGTCCAGTTTCACATAATTAAATTTATTGATATAAAAATCTTCATAATATTCCATTATTTTTAATATGCATATACTCAGTGGTGATGCTGCATCATTCCTTATTTTGGTAGAGTCTTTTTTTCTGTTGAATTTGGCCACATATTTGATAGTTTTATTGATCTAAAAATCAATTTGTTTTATTGAGTTTTCTCTATTGCTAAATTATGCTTTCATCCTTATTATTTTTTCTATTTCCTTTGGTTGAATTTTGTGGTTTCTTAAAGGGAAAGTGAAGTTTTAATACCCTTCTCTGATATAGGGATCACATGCTCCTAATTTCTTTCAAGTACTTTTAGTTGCTTCCTCAATTTCCAATTTAATATTTTTCATTTTCTTTAAATTAAAAATGCCCTCAAAATTTCCTCTCAGCCTCTGAGTCTTTTTCTCTTTGATTCTGTCTCCAGGCTCTTCCGAAGCTTCTTCTCACTGTCCTGCTTTGTGGAAATTCTTGAACAGTAGACTGGGTTTATTATTGTGTTTATCTCCTTGTCTCTCTTTCACTGACATTGCCCTTTGTTGCCTTATGTTAATTACCTTTAAAGCACAACATTAACATTATTTGAGGTTTCATACATGCATATATGTATTTTGATCGTATTTACCCCTGTCCTCCAGCTCTTTCCAGATCCTCCTCCATTTCCCTCCCAACTTTATTCTCTCCCTTTTTCTCTTTCTCATTCTTTCAAATAACCCACTGAGTCTGTGTTGCCCATATGCACATAGACATGAGGCCATCCGATGGACCATGGTATAGTACAAGGGGACATACTCTAAAAAAAGGCTTTCTCTTTCCTACCAGCCATCAGCTGTCCACAACTCCTCAGAAGAGGTAGGGGCTTCTGGGCTCTTCCCTACTTCCTGCTGGCGTATTCCCTGGACTGATCTTGTGCAGGGCTTGTGCAAACAACCACAGCTGCAATGAGTTCATGAACGTCTTGTCATGTGCGGAAGATACTGTTTCCTCCAGCCCTCCCAAACCTTTGGCTCTTACACTCTTACAACTTTCGCTTCCTCAGAGTTCCCTGAGGCTCGGGAGAAAGTGTGTGGGTAGTTGTCACTGTTGTGGCTGAGCACTCCAGAGACACTTACCCCCTGTTTTCTGACCATTTGTGAGTCTATGCTTCAGCTGCTGTCCATTGCACAACACCTGCCATCAAGTGTCTGAAAAGACATTCTTCTCATCAGATATGGAGGAACATTGTTTAATCTGAGCTACTAGGAAGGCCAAGGCAGGTTGATTGTAAATTTGAATCTAGTGTGAGTTACATGTCTCAATTAAAGTAAAACAGGACTGTAGACATAGTTCAGTGATAGAGCAATTGCCTAGCATGTGTGATTTCTAATCCCAGAACAGCAAACCAAATAGCAGAGGGTCTTCCATGTGATAATAATGTTGCATTAAAAAGCAGAATGTTGCAGTATATCTTTATGCTTTTTGTTCAGGCAGGAGGGAAAAATGTGATCCTTGCTACTAAGTGTAGACTAGAAACAGAAGTATCTGATGACATCTGATCATAGCTTAATTGCTTGCTAATACATATCTCCGTTTCTAATATATGCTAGGTACCTTTTCACTACAGAAGTCTCAAGTACAGTAAAATGTTAGATTACTCCTTGAACATATGTTGTATTGTGAACAACTTTAAATCTCTATATTTTAGCTTAGCTGCATGGACAGTTTCATTGAAGAAGGAAGGAGCGAGAGGCAGGACACTTCACGATTCTCTCTTCTTGATTTCTATCTGAGGGTGATGTCAGGAAAGTAAAAGACTAGAAAGCAATTTAGAATTTAGTTCAGGGAAGAGAACCCTGGGTTTCTATATTAGAACTTCTAAATTTTCTTTCAAGTGAGAGAGCTGTAATATGAACATCTTAATTTATATAGGAAGGCATTCATTTGAATGGAATGGGGAAAACATCCACGTTACAAGGTCTAGTTTACATTTTCAAATTTGGTCTTGTAAATACCCAGATGCCTCGTGTCATAGAAGAGTTTGCTCTCAGTATTTGCTCAATGCATTTCTTTGACTTATTTAAGGTCAGTGAAATATTGTCAAACTATCTTTATAGAGAATACAAATTTTTTATATCTCAATATAAATTTATTAAAATTCTTGTAATCTTCTAAGAGAATACAGGAAAATAACTGTTTGTTTAGTTTTGGGGCGCTTTCCTGTGGAGCCACCCTTGGCAGTTAACTATGTCTCTTGGTACACTGAGGACACAGAACAAAAGACATGCTAGTCATATGGAGATGCCAATAAAAGATATACTGCAGCATTCTGTTTTTTATTTTCCTCTTTAGATGATATTTCCTTAACAAGTAAAAATTCCATAGGATTATAGTCAAATGAAGAGACGAGGAAACATTATTTTGTAACATTTAAATTGTGGAAAACATTGAATTGGAAAGACATTAAGAGTAATTTATATAAGGAATTTTTTAAAACTTTACTTTTGTTTTGTTTTTTTCTTTTTTGAGACAAGGGTTCTCTGTGTATCCCTGGCTGTCCTGGAACTTGCTCTGTAGATCAGGCTGGATTTGAACTTGGAGATCTGCCTGACTCTGCCTCCTGAGTTCTGGGATTAAAGGCATGTGCCACCATGTCCGGCAATAAGGATTATTTTACACTTCAAAATATGAGAGCTTTAACTTGTTTCTTTTGTCTTTTGGTGGGAAAAATTGATTGCCATGTGTTTAATTAATTTCCATCTGCTTGATTAATCTAACTTTGAAAATTTTCAGAATTACATTGTTTAGCTTAAATAGAGCACTTCAAATGGGACATTTCATGTTACAGAAATAATCTGGAAAATAAAAGAATTAATCTAAATGACCTTTAAGGTTTTTTTCTGGGTTTAATATCTTATGACATCAATTTCTACTAACTTACTCATATAATTCTTGAAATATCTGATAAATATACTTCTGATAAATGAAGTAAAGCTAAGTATTTCTACTGCTTAAATAATCTAAGAACTAATTATGAAGCTTCATTAATTCTCGTTATTATATGTAGTATATATAATGACTTAGGCTTTTTTTTTCTTTTTTTTTTTAACCATTTTTCCATATATTATAATGAAGGTATTGAAGCTAGTACTATTTTAGAAAACTGGTTAGTTGAAATTTGAGGAATGGAAAAGCAAATTTATATAATTATATAAACATAATCTTTGGCGTAATTCTTGTGTGCCATCCATGCTTTGTAGAATCAAATTTTGGAAAGAAGTTGAATTTCCAAGTAACACATAATGACAGTCATTAAATTAAAAAATGTGCTTGAAAGTTGGATTTGGATGATGGTTGGATAGTGGGTGCTGATTTGCCGCACAGGATGCACAGTAGACATTTTCCTTATATTGAATGAACTAAGTAGTATCAAGATTTGATAAACACATATTTAGTCACATCAGTTTATAACATATCTAAAAATGTGTCATAAACACTTAAACTTTAATGCTACATTGGAAGTGTATGAGAGGCACACAGTCTAGTTTATTTTGGAGAAGAGGAAAACTGCAGGATGCAGGAGTTATGGTCATAGCTGCACTTGAAACCTACATCTGCTGTCTGCCTGCTCTTCCACTCTTGGGGAATGTGAACTCTTCAGTTCCTGATGTCCTAGTCAGTAGCTAAGATGAGCTGCTTATCATAGCTAAGGCAAACCTCACGTTAGGAAACACTGTTTAGAATATATGGGGAAGAGTGTAATGACAACCACAGTGCCTTCTAATAATAATGGAGACTATATAATAGTTTAAGACTCTCTCCGTAAAGTAAGTTAATTTCAAATATTAGCCCCACACAATGAACAATGAAATCACATTTTAAAGAAATTAACAATCTTTATTTTTAACTTGTTTTAAATTCAAATAGTTAAAATCCACAAAAGAACTATGACATTGTAGTCTTTTGAAATGTTATTTTTAGAATTCTTCTTTCATAAATGTCTTAGAATACCACTAGATTTTACTTATTGCAGACCAGACTTCCTATATCCTTTCTGCTGCTGGAGTAATCCTCAGATTTCCTTCTGAAATGTTTACCTTTTCCAATAGTATCACTACATGTTGTCACCTAAACCAGAAAGCCAGACCTCAGATTTCTTCCCTTTATCACTTCCCCACAAGTTTTAAAAATTGAATAATATTGTTTCTACAGACTCTCATTTAATTCTATTCTCTTAACTGGTCTGTGTGCTCTAGTCTTTGCTTCTCAGACACACACACACTGCCATAGTGATTCCTAATCTGCCAAGTGACTGCAGTTACTATGGTGTAAAGAGCCTCCTGGTCTGTCCCCTGACTAACTTTAGGAGCACTCCACTCAGTCCTCTGTGTCCCAGACCAGCCACACCACAGCACTGCTCTTTAGTTATCTCCATCTGGGTCTGCTGTGCCTTGGCTCGTCCTTCTACGGCAGTCAGAAATAGTCTCCTCTCTAGACCTCACTCTAAAATCCTTACCTACCTGATGAACAGTTACTTGTTTTTGTCAACATAAGCACCACCTCCTTCATGATCCTTCTTTGGGTATTCTGTGTGAATCAGCTACTTACTCCTTTGTGGTACACTGGATTATACAGATCTCTAATCTAGTATTCTTAAATTTAATTGTTAATGGATTGCATCTCTTTAATTCACTTGGACTACTCAGTGCATGTTTCTCTGTACCTAGTATGTAATAGGTCAGTCAGTGTATTAACTTTTGAGTGAATGACTGGAAGGAAAATATTGGTCTACATATCACAGACATGCTGTTTTGGGATATGTATCATCACCACCATTTTTCAAACATTTCATTTTAATTTATTTTTAATAATAACTTTTCTTTATCCTAAAGAATTTTATATGTTTATACAATGAATCTTGATCATGTATCTAGTCCCATCCTCTCTGCCTCCCCACAAATGCCCCATAACCAGGCCTTCTCAAAAATTAAAACGCGTGGGGCTGCCTGCTGGAGTATAGGAAATGCACTAGTGGGGACACAGTATAAAAAAAATGATTCTTCCACCCCAGCTGGGAGATCGTCGGCATCCATATGGTTTTCCAAATATTCTTTCTTTGGGCTAGATTCTCCTCCCCTATTTCCTCCATACTCCCGCCCTCTAGCTTCTTGAGCCTTTGACCCTTAGTATTCCACCTCTCTGCTTTCATTTCACTGTCAGTTACTATTTCCTATCCCTATTGTATCCCCTACCCCAACATCTCTTTCTAGTTTTTCGGTTTCTTCATGTGCTACAAGTTAAACACACAAAAGTTTTGAGGCTAGGATCTGCGGATGAGAGAGGACAACTGTGTTTGTCTTTGTAAGCCTTATTAGTTTACTCAGTATGCATGTATTTTTTTCAGTTCTATTCATTTACATAGAGATTTTATTTTCATTTACAATTGAATACCATTGCAGTGTGTATGTGCACCACCTTCTTATCCAGTCATTTGTTGTTGGACATCTCAGTTGGTTCTGCTTCTTAGCCATTGTGAATAGAGTGGCTGTGAACATGGATGTGCAAATAGGAGAATATGAAGTCCTTTGAGGATATATGCTCAGGACTGGTATAGCTGGGTCACATGGCAGTTCTGTTTCTAGTTTTTTGAGAAACACATGGACTGCTTCCCCAAGTGGATGCATTGGTGTACATTTCCACAAGCAGTCTGTAGGAGTTCCTTTTTTCTCTCTCTCTTTTTTTTTGTGACTTCCACATCAGAATTTATTCCTGGTGATGGCCATTCTCAATGGGGTGAGATGGAATCTTGAAGCATTTTTAATACTGGTGGCTAAGGATGTTGATCAGTTTTAAAAATGTGTTTCTGCTGGGCAGTGGTGGTGCACGCCTTTAATCCCAGCACTCAGGAGGCAGAGCCAGGTGGATCTCTGTGAGTTCAAGGCCAGCCTGGGCTACAGAGTGAGTTCCAGGAAAGGTGCAAAGCTACACAGAGAAACCCTGTCTCGAAAAACAAAACAAAACAAACAAGCAAACAAACAAAAAATGTGTTTCCTAGCCAATTTGCATTTCTTCTTTTGAGAGTTTTCTATTCAGTACCATAACCTTTTTTTAAGGGAGGTGGTTTATTTTTTAATGTTTAGTCTTTTTTAGTTCTTTGTATGTTCTAGACACTAAGCCTGTCAGATGAATGGCTGGCAAAGATTTCTCCCACTCCATGGGCTGTCTGCTCACTCACTCAACACTTTTCTTTGCTGCACAGAAACTTTTTAGTGTCGTGTTTTCATCTGTTGATTGTTGGTCTTATTTCCTGTGCTATTGGAATCTTACTCATAAAGTCCCTCCCTGTGCCTGTAAGTTGACGCATATTTCCTACTTTTTCTTGTAGCAGTTTCAGGCTATCAGTTCTTATGTTGAGGTCCTTGAGCCATTGGAGTTGAGTTTTGTGCAGGGTGAGATATAAAAATCTAGTCTCAATTTTTTTTCTTTTTTAAAAACACGTTGAAGACAAGTTTGACCAGCACCATTTGTTGAAGGTGGTGTCTTTTCTGTAATGTATAGTTTGGGCATCTTTAAAAAAAATGTCATGTAATTATAGTTGCATGGACTTAGATCTAGGTCTCCAATTCTATTCTATTGAACTCTGTAGACAATAGACAATATATTTAATAAAGCTCTTTCCTGCAAGAAAACTCTGTTTTCTTGAAGATGATAATTCAAACTAATATAAAGGTCAAGTATACAGTCAGAATTTATTTATTTATTTATTTAAAGAGGCCAGGCCTGTGAGAATATTATGGTGAAATGAAAGTGAGGCCTTTCAGTTGATTAGAAAAGGCCAGCATGCAGGAGAAAATGATGGTAGTTTAACACAGAGAGTAGAAAACCCAGCAAGGTAGAGGGAGACTTTGATCTTTCGGGCAGTATGTAGGAGGAAGTGAAGACTGTATCCAGGGAGGGTTTGAGGGAAGCTGAGGTTCTCTTGACTATGTTTCTTCTTTGCTTTGTTTATGCATTTCAGATATTGAGACTATGACCTGCAGTTGCTAATAATAATAATAATATTTTATCTTTAATGAGTTATTTAATTTTTCTTTTCATTTATGTAAAATTTAGAAGAAATCTAAATTAATAGAAATAATTTGTGAAGCAAATATACATATTTCATGTAATACTTCATTTTGTCTACTTTTGATAGTAGTTGAATAGAGCAACAATGCAATGTTTTATCATTTTTATATGTAAAAGCTTTATTTCTAAATCTTTTTCTGTTTTCTTTTCTGAGTTCAGTATTTAGTTAAGGCTTAATTGTGAAAAGGGCACTTTCCCTTCTCTGATATTTGGGTATTTAATTGCTCTTATGGAAATTATTTTGTTTCTATCTCAATATATTTAATATTTGGAATGCTTTTTCTTGAATTTAATGAAATAAATGGGAAAATTTCCCTCTTAATTTAAAGTTGAGATTTTAGAATTCAGTCAAAGTGTAAACATTTTTCTGTACTCTGTTTCACTAAGAAACTCTTAAAAGCTGCTCTTACCAAGAATGGAATTAATTATTTCTTTTTTTTGTTTTGTCTTTTCTGTCTTTTTAAACTTGCTTTCATGGATATTCACACCAGGAGGACAAAGTGGTTAGAGTTTTTTCTTTCTGTCTAATATACTTTTTCTTATTGTTATTGTAAATTTAATTTTATAGCTACATTTAATTTTATCCTTCTAAGTATTTTGTTAGTTATATTGCATGGTAGTTGCTAAACATTATAACATACTTATGCATGCTGATTTTACTGAAAACAACTTTCATTTCATTGTATTAGAGATGAAAATATTAATTTTTTTATAGAGGCCTGAATTTTTATAATTTAATACTTTTGTTATTATCTCATAGCATTCTCCATTATGATAAGCCTTCCTTTACCTTACAATGTTTTCCTAAACTCACTGTTATATTATTCAGGTTTTATAAAGTTTCCAACTTATTATCTAAAGTTAATGCCTGTAATAATAACTACAATGCCATAAAAATGGGTTTACTGAAATGATTATCTTGTAGTTTATCATAAATATTTAATATATTTCTGTTTCTCACAATAACTTGTTCCATGAGTTAGTAAAATATACCCTAGGTTTTGATAGTTTGATAATCTGCCCAGGAATGTCTATTTGCATTTAGATCTGCTCTCAAGACTGATGACTCTGCATATAAAGACAAAGATCTTTCTGTTGTGGTAGCCTTTCATGAGTCAAACTCAGCCTTGAGCCTGTTCAAATTTTCCCATTGCAAATAACACACATTCCAAGTAGTTGAAGACTTCTGTGCAGTACCATTTTTTTTTTAAATCACCTGGATTTTTTTTGCTTCCTTTCAAAGTCTTCAGCTACTCAGTTGGGGACAGTGCATTTTGTGGCAAATACTGAATATGGATTTGGAATGAAATCTCTGAGTAGAAAAAAGGACATTTTAATTCTTTCCCCTTTTAAAATCCTGTAGGAATCCTAACAACTTTTAGAGGCTGTTTTGAAGATTAATAGGTTAATTAATGCACAAACTATTCATCATCCTTGATTCGGGCATGGTTCTTCAGGGAACCTATGAGCTTTATACCATCCACCTTCTCCCATAGCTTCCCTACAGACAGACAATCCATGCAGTTCATGACCTTTAGAATCTCTGGCAACTTCTGTGTCTGGAGTTAATATAGGGTGCATCATGGTCTGCTATCTTTTTTCCTTTTATATCATGGCTCCTACTTCCAGAAATTGGAAATTTAATGATGGAAACTTAGCTTCTGTGTGCTGACAAGATTTCATAATTATCAGTCTATAGTTTAAGTTAAGGGATGACTAGAAGATAAAATACATTTGTATGGATTTGGAACATGCAAATGGATCTGGACAGGCCTCTGTGACTCTAACACAGTAGGTTGTATTCAAAAGTAACCATTGAAGTTTGAGAAAGGTTTTACTGATAAATTGATGATTACATTTAATTTTAATTAAATTTAAAAACCACATGTAGCTAATGGCTAAAGCACTAACCTTGATAGAAAATATTATCTATTCAGCCCCTGCGAGAATACACAAGACCTCATACTTACATTAGCAGGGTATGAATACTAGCAGTGGACATACAAGCATTACAGTTTCCCCCGAGCATGTGTGTGTGTGTGTGTGTGTGTGTGTGTGTGTGTGTATGTGTGTATACACACGTATATGTGTATATGTGTATGTACATATGTCAATGACAGTATCGTATAAAGGCAAGGATGACGATGGACAAAGATTACCCTCCTGAAGGGTAGACTCAGGAACCGGAGTGACAGTGACGAAAGGCCTCCTTGGATGACTGGCTGGGGCTTGCTAGATAGGATGACCAAGGGAGGAAATAGAGTTGCTCCTTCTGTAGGCGTTGCTGTGTACTGTGGACACTTGTCACTCTGCACTGCTGGTCCTCCGTTTTGAATGTAGTTGTTACTAAAGTCACTTTTTCCTTGCTGCTTATTAAGTCTTTTCATATAGGTCAGTGGTTCACAGTGATTCACACATCATGATTTGCTTTCCTTCAAAGATCTTGGTTTTGGAGGTTTTTTTTTTTTTAAATTAATTAGTTAGATAAGACTTTAGAATTGCCTCTTTAGGGAAGAGACAACTATGTTACATGTAAAATATTTTTAAAAGGCTGAGTAGTTCAAAGAATGCACTGATGTAGACACTGCTTAGTAAGGTACCAATAGATATTTTCACCTTTCTTTTCTCTTGCAGTCTTCTTTTAGACAGAGTGAAAACCCACAACACTTTCTTAGCTCTCCTTGAAATAGAAAATGGCTGTGTAATGCAGTTCTAGTAAATGAAATTAGAAGAAAATTTCTAAATTTGTCTGGCAAGTCATGATATTAAAGCCCTGCCTTTTAATACTAGTATGATATCTTGACATGGCTTGTCATTTGTTAAGATGAAAGGAAGGCCAAGAGTCTTCGAATCACGAGGACGTATTAGAACCAGTATTCTCTCAGTACAGAACCACTCAGTTTCTCGTCCTGGCTCTCCTGATTGTAGGTTAATAGTTCAGAGGAGGCTTTTGGTATGCTGGAAAGGAAGAAGCAGCTGATAGCTGCTCACTTCCAGAAGCTAGCAGCCCTGAACTGTTGGGCCGAGGGTAGGGCAGTGATGCCCTCCAGTCTGAGACTGAAGGCCTTGAAGCTCAGTGGTCTGCTGCTGTTGGGAGTCCGTGCTCTAAGACTAGAGAGGCTGGGGTCCAAGCTCCCTTCAAGAAGACACTTGCTAGAAAATGTGGAGCCTGCTTGAAGTGGCCGGCGTTCTCTTCTTTTCTTTCTACCCACCTGTGTTCCCAGCCTTTTGGGTGGTGCTGTTATTATCAGGGCACGTCTTTCCTCCTTATTGTGAATAGTGCTATTCGTGAATAGTGCTATTGAGATATTCAGACATTTCAGTATTCTTATTTTATTTCATTTCAGACTATACTCAGTAGGGGTTTCTGTATCATATTGTAGATATGTACCATGTTGTTTTTCATAATGCCTGTACTAATCTGTGTCACTATCAACACTGTTTGAGAATTGTCTCTACATCCTTCTCAATCCTTCAGAAACAGTGTCAGGCATTTGAGAGGGACTTAGCTAGCACAACTGCAGCAGTCTTGGTGATGGCTTCCTTGTTTATAGCAGTGCCCTAATTTTTTGTGCTATCATTTGATCTTAGGAGAACTTGGAAAATAAAAGTCAGTAGTTGGTGGGGTATTGTCTTAATTATTGCTTTATTGTGTTTTCCACACTTGTTATTATTTCTTCCAAGGCATTTCCTTTTCTGTGTCTCAGGGATCATATTTCCATTAGCAAAGTACCGTGCTTTCCCTGAGTCTGACAGATGGTAAACTAGCTAGTTCCATTTATTTATTTATTCATATAAACCATAAGATGAACTATTAAAGATGGTCATATATCTTGAGGCCTCTCCTACTTTTATTTGTTGTTATTATATTGAGTGCTTGCTTTGGATGGTAGCCTACACAGACAAGAGAGATGCTGTGGCCTGGAGTACTGATTATATAGGTGACTATAACCTGCAGTAGGAATTAAAGTTAAGCACTTTGTAAAAATAGGTTCTCCTGGTCCAAACTATGTGACTCACCAGAGTTTTACAACCTGAGATGTGGTCAACTTGGATCTCTAAGAATAACTCTGCCTTAGCTCTAGCCACCCACAATATCTGGCCGATAGTGAACACTTGGTGACTCCTTAGGGACTGTGTCTGTAGAGAGGATGTGCTGTCTTAACTTCTGTCCAAAGTTCATTTTTATCTGTTTATCACAATAGACTTCACGAGTTGTTTGTGCAGCTCTAACAAATGCCAGCACATTTTTCTTCAAGTTAGACGTAAGCTTCCTTAGTTGACGATGGCACCAGTTGAGGCTGATGTTACTTTAATCAGGTAGTGTTAGATTTACTGTGATGCTGAAAAAGCAGGAAAACGGCCAACAAAAAGTAAGATAATGCTCAGGAGAGATACACATCACGGAGTCCATAAAAATCCAGGACTCGTTGACTTGATTGATTGATCGTTGACTTGATTGAATACATTCTATTGGTGGAAGGACTGAGATACAGGAAATGTATTCTTTGCTGCTAGGCATGTAATTGCCTTAGCATGTGACACCATCCATGAATGGGATTTTGCCTTAGCATCTGTTTCATCTCCCATGGTTCCACTTTTCAAATTCTTTTGCCTGTGTTTGTATTTGTACATGTCTGTGCTTGTGTGCACTTATACAAACATGTGCATATGTGAGCATGTGCATGTAGAGGCCAGAGGTTGATGTTAGTGTCTTCCTATTCTTTTCACTTTATTGTTTTTGAGATAGAGTATCTCATTGAACCTGTATCTTGACATTTCAACTAGACAGCCCGCCCTGGCCTGTCTCTGCCTCACTGGAGCTGGGGTTATAGGAGCAGGCTGCTGAACCTGGCTGGGTTCTGCTGGAGTTAGAGGAGCAGGCTGCTGAACCTGGCTGGGTTCTGCTGGGGTTAGAGGAGCAGGCTGCTGAACCTGACTGGGTTCTGCTGGGGTTAGAGGAGCAGGCTGCTGAACCTGGCTGGGTTCTGCTGGAGTTAGAGGAGCAGGCTGCTGAACCTGGCTGGGTTCTGCTGGAGTTAGAGGAGCAGGCTGCTGAACCTGACTGGGTTCTGCTGGAGTTAGAGGAGCAGGCTGCTGAACCTGGCTGGGTTCTGCTGGAGTTAGAGGAGCAGGCTGCTGAACCTGGCTGGGTTCTGCTGGAGTTAGAGGAGCAGGCTGCTGAACCTGGCTGGGTTCTGCTGGAGTTAGAGGAGCAGGCTGCTGAACCTGGCTGGGTTCTGCTGGGGTTAGAGGAGCAGGCTGCTGAACCTGGCTGGGTTCTGCTGGGGTTAGAGGAGCAGGCTGCTGAACCTGGCTGGGTTCTGCTGGGGTTAGAGGAGCAGGCTGCTGAACCTGGCTGGGTTCTGCTGGGGTTAGAGGAGCAGGCTGCTGAACCTGGCTGGGTTCTGCTGGGGTTAGAGGAGCAGGCTGCTGAACCTGACTGGGTTCTGCTGGAGTTAGAGGAGCAGGCTGCTGAACCTGGCTGGGTTCTGCTGGGGTT